GTAAGTAGCAGGAGGAATTTAAGCTCCAGGAAAGAAAGAAAAGAAGACAACAGGGAGACATTAGGGGCCACACAGACAGACTGACACAGAAGAAGCAGAAAGGTAGGACACACAGAATGACAAAAAGGCAAAAAGCCCCAGGAAAAATGTAGATGACTAGAAACTGGTTAAATTAAGCTAAAAGAGCTAGTGGGACAAGCCTAAGCTAAGGCTGAACATTCATAATTAATAATAAGTCTGTGTCTTTATTTGGGAGCTGGTTGGTGGCCTAAAGAAAATTCCAACTACAATTTTGGTTTGTTTTTTTGTTTTTATTTTTATTTGGGAGGCCACAGCTGGGAGGCTGGATAAGGAGGGACTGGATGGTGAGCAAAATTGGGGTGCATGATGTAAAATTCCCAAAGATCAATAAAGAAATTATGTTTTAAAATGAGGAAGACAAAGGAAGCCACAGACAGAGCAGAGCATCCTTGAGCAACAGCAGCTGCTGAACACCAGAGCTATGCTCTAACAACAACAAAATTTAATGATCAAATATGTACAGTGGTATAAAAGCTTAGAACAACTGAATGAGAGGTAAGTCAAGTCTAGGGGCTGAAAAGACGGCTCAGCAATCAAGAGCTCTTGTTTGCAGAGGACCCAGTGAGGTTCCCAGCACCACATTGGACTGCACACCACAGCCTGGAACCAAAGCTCCAAAGGATCTGACATTCCCTTCTGATCTCTGAGGGTACCCACACATACATGCTCATGAAAACACACACACACACACACACACACACAGTGAAATATCTTTTTAAAAAAGAAATCATTACAGAGATAATGTCTACACAAAAACAAACATTGCTTAGAGCATTGGTTCTCAACCTAATTCCTAAGGCTGCAACCCGTTAATACAGTTCCTCATGTTGTGGTGAGGCCCCCCAACCATAAAATCATCTTTGTTGCTACTTCGTAACTGTAATTTTGCTACTGTTATGAACAGTAATGAAAATATCTGATATTTCTGATGGTCTTATGTGACCCCTGTGAAAGTACCATTCAACACCCTCAGGGGTCATGACCTGCAGGGTGAGAACTGCTGGCTTAAAGAAGACATAAATATTATTTACCCATAATAAAAAGTCTTCTCTGGAGAAGCTACCCCCCCCCTCTTTCAGGCAATGAGGGTGCAGATGATTCTCTACCATCATCTTACACACAGGCCATCATTTATCAATAACAAGCAATTCAAACTCTTATTAATTACCTTGAGGGGTAAATACTGATGGTAACGTTTTCCTAGTTTTGTCTGAGTTACTTCAAACCCATTCTATGATTCAGGGACTGTCACTGAATTACACACTGTCCCAAACAGTGACAGTACTTAGATCTCTTCTGTCAAGGCACATTTAGGACCTTGTGCCTGAGGAGTTTCATTCATCTAAAACTAAGAATAAGAAAACACAGTGTCAGTCAGAACGGTTATGTGACACCCGGGGATACCTGGTAACTGGTTTGTCCCTGAGACCTCAAGAGACTGCAGGGCAGGCAGGCCGAGAAGCAGCTCCTGTTCTGCTGTGCTGAGCTCCAGTCTGCACATGGAGCACTTGGTGACAGAGGTCTTATTCAGCTCCAGAGCTGGGCGGATGCTTTCAAGAAAGCCACTGCTGTGGTTCAAATGGAGTTCGATATTCTGTGATGCTGAGAAGATTTCCATTAGGACCTCGAGCAGTGCTTGGTCTGCTGGACCCATGCTGGCCACTCTAACTTCCAGCCTAGGGATCTTGTACGGCTTGGGAGACAGTTTCCAGTAGCCAGCACTGATGTTGGGTGGATGCTGGAGTCGGTTATTCATAAAATTTCTCACGTTATCTTCATTTTCAGCCAAATTGTTCTCCCATTCCTTCATATGTTCAAAGGCAGATGCATAGTCCTCATCGATGGTTGGTCGCTGTAATGTTTCAAAACATTTTTCCATGACTGAGTAATGTACTCTTGGTTGCATTTTATTTCCATTTATGGAGACTTTTACACTCTTCAACAGTTGCAGACTTTCTGGGTGGTCCCCAAAGTACTGTGAATTCAGTACTTTCAAAGCCAGTGTTCTCCCTCGAAGGAATTGCAAAATAAATGGAGAACATACAGCCACTGTGTTGCTTTCATAAGCAAAGTTTAGAGCAATGCTCAATAGATGTTCTGAAACGAATGAAGAGAAAGCTTCAGGAGATAGCTGCCACAATCCCTTAATTAACTGCATCACCGGAGATGTTTCTAGATGGAGCTTCACATAATCCTCATTATCCGACATGTTCTTCAGCAATTCTTTATCATGCACCAACTGAAGTAAATGAGATACAATTTTTGGCCCTGCCTTTGATGAAGGATGACTACAGACATACTTCAAAAAATTGCTGTAGGTACCCACAGCCTTCAAGGGTGAGTTAATTTGTCTCAAATAACCAAGTCCCAGATTATGGTCTTCCTGCCTTTCTGAACCCAGGAGCTCAGTCAGCCTCATGGCAGCAAGAAATTCTTGGAACAAAGGAGTTAAGAACCGATAGACAGGTCTTAGTCTCTGGGCAGAGAATTTGCTCATCAAGCAGGTGGTCAGATCTTCATCTTCATCAACGCCTGCTTCTGTGAGGTCATCACTACTGAACTCAAAGCAAGATGAAAAAAGACCTCTCAAAGCCAGCTGGCCACATGAGGACACAGTGGCCTTGAGAGGCTCAGGTGTAGCCTTGTGTTTTAAGGAAAGGTATTTCATATAGGCCTTGAAAGCTGCCACATCATGAAAGGACTGGTTAGAAGGATTTTGAAACCAGTCAGCACAGACTGCTGCCACAAAGAGAGGAGTTTTGTTAATTCCCTGTAAATCTACATTCTTTCCAAAGTAAATCATAAACTCTTGCAGATGTGAAATATTGTGGAAGAATAACTTCCGTAATACAGAGATAGTGTTATAGAGGGGAAACTCTTTGATCTCTAGAATTGTATCCAGGTATGGGCGGATGTTCCTGGCCCTGTTTGTATGGACAGTGATCAATAAGCAGGTTTGGGTCAAGTAGTTTCTTGTAATCAGGGTTTTTATGGCTTGGGGCAGTGAGTCCATCCCATGATAGTCATCCAACAGGAACAGAACCTGGTGCTTTAACTGCTGGATGATGCTGCTCAGGCCCACATCACTAATGCATCCTCCTGCCTCTAGGAGTTGGGCACAGATAATGTCAGCCAGCCCCTGGTCTGGTCTGGTGGAACCAAGGGAGATGTAGAAGACCAGCTGGAACCTGTTCAGCAGGGGACAGCATCCTGATGCCCAGAGAAAAGCTGTTTTCTTCAGGAAGGTTGTCTTCCCACTGCCAGTTTCCCCCTCCACACACATGACGGAGCTGAGATTGCTGAGGACCTCGGGAAGCATCAAGGCCTCTTGCACTGGCCTGCTGATGTGCTTTGAAACCATGGACAGGTCACAACCAAGCAAGTGGTCAGTGCCGAGGCCGGAACACACCTCTGGCAGATTGATGTGGCGGAAAGTGGCCTTGGTGTAGGCTCCTCTCAGCTGCTCACTCAGACTCTTTGCCTCTTGAAACCACTGGGCTGCACTCTGAGCCAGGTCTGTGGAGAGGAGGGAGAGAGGGAGGTGCACCTTCACATTTCTCAATCCTAATGTGATTACTTTGCCTGTCTGCTAAGGGTGGATCAGGACTTTCCACTTCCCAGACACCCATCCCCTCCCCAAGATCCTCTCAGATCCATCCATAGCATCAGAATGTGTGTGGGAAAAGTCTAACGCTCCTCATTTGACAGGGATTTAGACATCCTGGCATCCTAATTTCCCATTTAAGACCCCAGGAAACCAGCTTGCTGCAGGATGCCTTTAAGACTGGCTGGTTTGGATCTCACACAAGGACCTCTGTCACTAGTTCTACATTCACTCTCAAGATGTCACAGGAATGCTGACACTCTCTCACCCACAGTTCCCTCCATGTCATGCTCTCTCCTCTCTAGGAGCTCCTTGGACAATTATACATGCACTTTCCTTTCAAATCCCTGCGTACAAATACACATAATCCCATGTTGCTTTCAAGTTCTTACCGGCCACCGTAGAGTGAACGGCCACTGGATCCTCATGATTGCTTTCACCTGTGGTGTCCTTTGAAAGAGAAATCCTTTATTAAATCAAAACTGCGGCTTAAATCAAGACTGGGTACGATATTATCATTGACAATATAATCAATATTATCAATCAAATTGATAATACAATCAATCAAAACCCAACATCTTCTAAACACAGCCTACACTCAGTGCTGATTTAAGGAAGAGTGCTCTAGATAGGAAAGAATAAATCTCACACATCTGCAAGAGTGTGTTCCTAGACAGTACATGCATGGGATATACATCCTCTGTATGGGTGAGTGCTGTGTGGTTGATCAAAATTATAGAGTCTGGAACAAGAATGGCCCTACAGAAAGCATTAAGCTTTGCCTTCATCCTTGGTTAGTAACTATGTATGTAATACCGCATACTGGGAGGGAGAAAGGTTATTATGCATGCACACACAGTTTTTTTTTTTTTAAATATTCTCTTTTCTGAGACAAGGTTAAAAGTAGACTATGGGGATCCTCCGTGTAGTGGGTAGCCATTCCAGCTTGGATCTGGAAGTTCCAACCCCCATTGAGACTCTGGCAACTGTCATGCCTATGAGGCAGGGCCAAGGGAGGCGCCTGGAGACCGCAGACCTGGATGGGCAAGCGCTCTCTCTGTGCCGGACCCAAGACGGTGGAGGTTGACTGAGCAGAGCTCCAGAGAACACCACTGGACTTCGATACACCTTCCCCAGACCCAACAACCTACCTTTCCCTTTTTTGTAAGTTACCCACTAAATAAATCCTCTTTTTAACTACGTTCAGTGGCCATAATAATTTCACCAATACCTCCGTCTATTTCCCATGTGCTGGGATTAAAGGCATGAATCATAACACCTGGCTTCAATGTCTTGCTTTTTATTTTTGCTTCTGTTTTGAGACAGAGTCTTGTTTAACCTAGACTGGCCTCAAACTTAGTATGTGTCTGACCAGGACTTTGAACTTCTGATCCCCCTTCCTCCACCTCCCATTGCTGTGATTCCAGGTGTCCCCACCACACCCAGTTTGATCAGTGCTGAGGAGACACAGGACTTCTTGTGCACTGGGCATCCCAAGGGACTGCAATGTCATTTGAAAATGACAAATACAAGAGGTTAATCAACTGAACTGAGTTGTTTCTCTCTTCTTTTCCTTTCCATCCTGTTTTTGTTTTGTTTTTTGATAAGGAGGCTCATACTTATGGGCCGCCTTAAACTTATTGCCAGCCTTGAACTCATGGCAAATTCTGCCTCAGTCTCCAGAGTTCTGGGCTGCAAGCATGGGGCATCATGCCAAGCTTTGTTTCTTTTGGGGGATGACAAACATAGTGTACTACCATACTACCTCCAAGTGAGGAAGTGTGTGTGACTGACTTTTCAACTGATAGTTTGTATCCCTGAGAGATGTAGGGTTCAAACTATTATCTGGGTTACAATTTTGCTAGGCATCATTTTTGTTAGGAAACACATCTACAGGCCGGTAATGTAGGTCAGTTACAGACTCCTTGCCTGCGTTTGATCTCAAGCACTACAAGAAATAAAGCAAAACAATAATAAAAAACTCAGCTATGTGTGTTGGCACACAGACCTACAATCCTAACACTTGAAAAGGTAAAGCAGGAGGATCACAAATTCTAGGCCAGTCTGGGATAAGTAGCAAGTTCAAGGTCGGCCTAGACCTCATACTGAGAAGCTGTCTCAAGCAAAAAAACTAAACAAACAAAATGAAATATACCTCAAAGATCTCTCAATACCAAGTAGGAAGTCAAGCGTACTGTCTAAAGATCACAGATGAGATCCACTGAGCTCCGATGCCAGTCAGGTCTAAACTTGAAAGAGTCTGAAGAATCCCGGAGGAGAAGGGATCGCACATTCATAGAGCTAGGTATTGACGTCTGTTCACTGTGAAGCCCTGTCTATAACCATCGGGTGGTAGTTGTTAGTAAATAATTGTGTGACTCATTTAATTCTGTATTGACAAAGGGCAATTGCTGTTCAAAACAGTGTTCAACCACACTACCATGTACTGTGAGTCAGAGAAGGGGGCAGTGTCCATTACCGTGGCCTCTGGAAGTGCGCCGTGGCTCTGAAGGTCAGGAATCACTTCTGCAGAGGACTTCAGGTTTTGGAGAAAGAGACAGCTAAACAGAGAAGACAAAAATAATAAAATAGTTCCATGCAAGTAGGCATTTGCATTAGGTTTTAACACAGACACAGAAACAATAATGAAGTAGAAAGCTAACGTTTTCAGTGACTCTGCCAGCGTTTTTATCATATATGACTTTCACAGCCAGGCAGTGGTGGCTCACAATTTTAATTTCAGCACTTGGGAGGCAGAGGCAGATCTTTGTGTGTTTGAGGCCAACATGGTCTACAGAGTGAGTTCCAAGACAGATAGGATGACACAGAGAAACCCTGTCTTGAGAATATATATACATATATTCACACGTTGACTTTCAACAACTCAGTGCATGTGGTTTGTGAAGTGAAGGTGAGAATACGCAGAGAACATGGTGGAGTGAACACAAAAATGTAACTATCTGATATGCAGGATATCTGATATTCAACCCTTGTGAAAAAGTCATTTGACCCCTAAGGGGTCAACACCCACAGGTTGAGAACCCATGCTCCACAGGGTTAACGTACATAATGGTGGAGGAGGCAATGCACCAGGCTGCAGAGCAGGACACTGGTAAATTACATCTCTGTCCACACACAGGAAACAGAGAGGGCTAACTGGAAGTGTATAAGACTATAAATACTCAGAGCACACTTCCAGTGACTTACTTCCTCCAGCAAGGAGGAAATAGCCTTCCCAAGCAATACCATAAACTGTTGACCCAGTGTTCAGATAGATGAGCCCATGGGAGACATTGCTCATTCCAACCACCACAACCATACATGTAAATATTTGGGGTACTCACACAAAGACAGTTGTAATTTAAGAGAGGTAGAAAGAGGGAAAAAAAACACTTTTTTTCACATAAAGATTGAGTTGATAGATGTTTTTAGAAAAAGTTCTAAATAAAACTAGATTGTATCTTAACTTACCAGCCCAAAGGATTAAGAAGGCCCTGTACTCACAATTTCCTACCTACTACATCCAAATAAAAAGCAAAAAGTGAGCACTGCTCTCCAGCATCTTCAGCCCTCACACCGAGAAGGAAATAGCCCTAGTTAGGGAGGTTGAGACAGATCTCACTCTGTAGTCCCAGCTGGTCTCCAACACGTGACCCCAAGAGGGGAGCTAATGGGACTGAGAGGAGGACAAGAGGGGGTGACAGGAGGAAGGTGGTGACCATAATTCAAATACACTGTGTACATGCATGAAAATGTCATAA